TGCAAACTCCACTCCCCTTTCGCTCCTCTTTTATTCCCTATGGGAGGGGCCATTCACCGTCTACCTGTGGCCTTACTCCCAAGTCAACCCTTGTTCCTTAGCTGTTCCCTTCGTCGGGCAACTCTGCGCATGCGCACATTGGGAATAGGCTCCAGCTGTTTATCTGCTTCACTGTTCAGCGGATAACTGGCATACGGTCCTGGCCCGCTCTCTGCCTCCGATGCAGAGCCCTTCTCAGAGCCTTCCCCAGACTCCAGGACTGACCCATGTTCCTCCCCAACCTCCTCACTGTCCGACTCTACTGCCAGCTCTGCTGGTCACTGGCGGGCCACAACATCCTCAGGGAACCTCTTTCCAGTGTGGGCTATTCTATGTGTCGTATTTACATGGTGCCTGGTTGTGTGTGGCTTTTTAGTTGTTGATTGGGGGTCTTGCTGGCCAGCTATTAAGTCATTGGCTGTTAAGGCTCTTAAGTACTTGCTGATAAGGTGGAGGGAGATCAACTCTCCTGTTGACCGATAAGGGAAACGTTTCCTAGGCTTCGGTCATTTCCCTGGCTGTTTTTTGTCCCTGCTCGACCAACAATCTTAGTAGCTGCAAAACTGAATGTAAGGTAAATTGAAAGTTCAAAACTTCTGGCCCGGTGACTGACCCGAATTGGATCCTGCAACGTTATGCTGGGATCTGTGTGTGCGCCTTTCATTTGTGAGTTGGGTAGGTAACCTGGTTACTTGTATAGAAAATTGTTAGTATTGAGAATCACAATGGCAATTAAAGGTAAACCAATCAAGATGGGCTCCAGGATGAGTCTGAAAGCTCGGAGGACAAAAATGCTGGTCTCGGTGATCAACCCAGATTGGATCTATGTAACGTTACGTATATTTGACATATATATTTGGAGTGGTGTGGTGGCTTAGAGGTAGAGCTCTCGACTCACAATCAGGAGGCTGTGAGTTTGATCCTAGGTAGAGGCAGACATTTCTCTCTCCAGGAACAATGAGAATATATCTGCCGAATATAACTCTGCATTGGCAACAGGAAAGGCATCCAGCCAGTAAACACTTAGCTCCATTCAGTTGCTCAGATTCCACCCCACAAAGGATGATGGGGTCATTAAAAGGGGGTGATGTATATTTGCCTTTATTCGTGAAATTCCTCCGCAAGGCAAGTCATTCCCCTTTCTTCCCCAACTTCAAACCTTGACGCATTAAATGCAGGTAGTCCTCGACTTATTACCCCAAAGTTTTTGTCGCTAAATGAAAAATGGGTTAAAGGAGCCTTGTTACTACTTTTCTGGCCACACATGTTAAGTGAATCTGGTTTCCCCAAGGACTTTGCTTGCTGGAAGGTCGCAAAAGGGGGATCATCACATGACCCTGAGACACTGCAACCGTCATAAATGTGAGTCAACTGACAAGCATCTGAATGTAAATCACGTGACTGCAAGTGTTTGAAAACGGTCATAAGTCCATTTTTTCAGTGCCGTTTCTAAGTTCGAACACTCCATGAATGAACTGTTGTAAGTCCTAGGCTTACGACCACAACCGAGCCCAAAATTTCGGTCGCAAAGTGAGACATCTGTTCACCGCCCCGTTTTACAACCTTTCTTGCCAGAGTTGTTAAGGGAATCGCCGCACTTGATAAGTTAGTCACCCGGTTGTTAAGTGAATCCGGATCCCGCGCTGACTTTGCTGGATCACAGGACCTTGGGGCACGGTCGTTAAATCGGTCGTAAGCATGAACCAGTTGACAGACATCTGAATTTTGACGACACGATCGTCATTGGGATGCTGCAACGATGGTCGCTGTGAGCCGAGGTGGCGCAGTGGTTAGGGTGCAGTACTGCAGGCCACTTCAGCTGACTGTTATCTGCAGTTCAGCGGTTCTAATCTCACCNGGCTATGCACAGTATATATGTGAGTGTATGAAAATGAAAAAATGGAAAATAAAAACCTTTTCAAATGAAAAAAGAGGAAATTATGTCCGACCTGTTTAAGATCTTCATCCAGGCAACTCTGCGTGTCCATCCTGCGTGGGGCTTCCATCTTTGGTACCCGAATTTGATCTTGCCTCTCCAGATGTGAGATTCAGATGGGATAGCAAA